GAGACATAGAGACAGAAAGTGAGAAATCACCCCCCAGGGGGGATGGTCACGCCGCAATCCCTTCTCCTCCATTTTCCTCTAGGGATCTTGGGCATGCACGCACACGCGCCCGGCGTGAGTTTTAAGCCACCAGGTCTGGGACGCGAACCGCGGTCGACTACGTGGGAGTCCAGCGACATAGCATTTATGCTAACTGCTGGTTCCCATCTTTGTCTTATGTTTTTAAAAAAATAATTTTTTTTGAGAGGTTTTTGCTATAGGGCGCGTGTGCTCGCCAGAAAGACAGAGAGAGACAGAAAGCGAGAAATCACCCCTCGGGCCGATGGCCACACCGCAATCCCTTCTCCTCCATTCTCCTCTCAGGATCTTGGGCACGCACGCACACGCGCCTGGTGTGAGTTTAAACCACCGGAACCGGGACTCGAACCACGGTCAACTACATGGGAGACTAGTGACATAGCCTTTACACTAACTGCTGGTCCCAAAAAGAATTATTTTATTTAACTTTATTTATTTATTTATCTACTAATTTGACCAGAAAAGGACTGAGAGAGAGAAAGCTGCCAGGTCCAGGACTTGAACCGTGGTTGGCCATGTGGGAGTCCAGCACCCTTGATCACCACACCACCTGCCAGCCCCACAACTTAGTCTTATTGATAGAGCCTTTACAACTAGTTCCTTTTTTAATATTTGTTTATGTATGTGGACAGAAGTCTGACTACTTTTTCTATTTTCCAAAAGGGACTGGGGAAGTCATACCCACAAACATTAACAGACCATTTATTTTCTATTAACAGGATTCTTCCTACCTCCTGTCCCTGGCATAGTATCTTTGAGATGTATATTTCGACCCATTACAGTATATTATTTTGCTTATTTCTTCCCAAGACACAGAACTTCTCTTTTCCTTGAGATGTAGATTAAGCCTTTCTTTAACTAATCTCTTCCCAAGACACAGATCTTCCCTTCCAATCACCAACCTAGGAATTGTGGAACCCACCTATAACCTATAGCCCTCACTTCTACATGTCCCGCCTTTTGGGGCCAGACCAATGGAAAAATTTCTTCATTAAATGTTGTCTGTCAATCTCAAAAACAAATAAAGGGAATCCCTGTACACGATCACCCCGAGAAAAGGCATGTGTGTCTCTTCTCCGGCCTAGGTCACTCACGTTTGGCTTGGAAATAAACCGCATTGAGTATTAATTATTAATTTTTACTGTTGGTTATTTTTCTGTCAACATGTATTTAATTTTATTTGTTGTTGTTATTATTATTATTATTTAATTTGAAGAGAAGGGGAGAGAGAGAAAGTGAGAAAGCGAGCTATTAGGTCTGAGACTTAAACCATGGTCGTCATGCCCAGAACCTTAACCACCACGTCACCTGCTGGCCCCTACAACTAGGTCTTGTCGACGGAAAAAAAGAACCAACTGTAAAATTAAAATGCGGTTGATTTTCAAGCCAACTGTGTGACCTAGGCCGGAGAAGAGGCACACATGCCTTTTCTCCGGGTGATCGTGTACAGAGGTTCCTTTTATTTGTTTTTGAGATTGACAGACAAACATTTAATGAAGAAATTTTTCCATTGGTCTG